GTATTGGCCCGTATCGGGAGCTTCCCGATACGCCCCTACAGAAGGTGTATCGGGGTTTTGACCGGTTCAGAGGGTGGATGGACCAGACCTTAAACCAGCCCCTCTGAACTGGATTTGAAAAAAAAAAAAAAAAACTAAAAAAAAACAACCAATACTGGTCGAGCGTATCAGGCATATTGATATTTTGAACCTTGCTTACAACAAGCTTTTACTTTTTAGGTACTTGTGGATGGAAAGAGAAAATTGATGCAGGAAGAAAAAAGTAGCTACTGTATTCTTTGCAAGTTACAAGTTGTCTTTTATAAGAACTTTAGGTGTTTAGGAATGAATAAGGAGTTCTATTTTTATCTGTTTTAGTTTATTAGAAGTTCTATAGGTTGTCAAGTGGGTGTTGATTTGTTGTTGTTTTTCTATTTAATCTAAATACCTTAGTTATATTATGAATAATTTTAACTTGTTTGCAGACAGCTGATTCTCTAGAGTTATTTGCCCTGTTTTAAAGTTTAGTTGTAATTAGTAAGGGTGCAACTCAGGTTGGCTTGTCATCCATGGCAGCTCCATTGCCTCCATGTTCTATACTCAGTCCCCACCACAAACCAGTAGTAGAATTCTTGACCTAGCTTGTCTTGAATTTCAAGAAATAGAATGGTAAGATAATGAAAAAATAAAGTGAGAGAGGAGAGGAAGAAGAAGAATAGGAAAGAGGAGAGAAAAAAATCGGCGATGATTTACCTCTTAATCACTGTCATCGGAGTTTCAGTTCTGACCAGTATTTCAAACTTCAGCTGCCAAAGGAGGGAGTGATGGAGAGAGAGAGAGAGAGAGGAGTGGGGGTTAGAAAGTTGGAATCGGATAGAGAAAGGTTTGAGGGGTTTTTTTTGTCATTTTGGTTTTTCCTTATATTAAATAGCGGGAATTGGATTCCGATTCCGGGGGGGTGGGTCGGGAATGACTGTTCCCTCAAATGGGGGATTACCATTCCACCCAGAATGGGAATTGGATTCCGATTCCGCCCAACCAAACACTTGGACCATTCCGATTCCAATTCTGGGCCCCTATTCCTGCGAACCAAATGGACTCTCAATTTAATTAATAAAGATAATATAAGTTTTAAACTATATATTATTATTATTGAAAATCAGGTTTTTAAAGGACATGTTTCCTTTTTTTTTTTTTGAAGGGGGAGAGTAAAGAAAGAACAGGTTCCATGGGTAAACCCTGGAACCAACCCCAGAACTGCCAAGGCCAGAACCAACCTTCACAGGGTAAGTTCTGGTTCCAAAAACCTGGAACTGACCCCTACAAGGTAGGTTCCAGGTTCTGCTATGGAACCAAACCAAACTGACCCATGCTCACCCCTAGGGGAAAGGATACATGTTCAGCAAAGAATTAATTAAATGGAGCTTATTGGTATTTTGGTTGCCTCTAAGGATAGCCACAAAACCAGAACTGACATAATCGGTTTGGTCTGTCAGGTAGACCTTAACCCATTGACATCCCTAAGTTAGACATACTTAGGAGCACTGGGAGAAATTGGATTTTCTCACTAAATATGGCACACGGACAATTTTTTCACATAAAAAGAACAGTATTTAAAAGATATACATTTCTCTTCTTAAAACCGTCTTCACTGTAAAGATTAATACAGCAGAAAAAAAAAGTAAACCTGCATTAGATGGAAACCCCAGAGTGGAGGGAGGGTGTTCAGATAATGCTTGCCTTTCAACTATGGATGTCTATTACCTAGTGTTGAGTCATCACCTATTACCATCTCAACCAACAAATAGCACTCTTATAGCAATTTGTTAATCGGGACAAAACCACAGAACCAGAACTGAACATGCAGTTACATTTTCTGTTTTTTTTTTTTGACAAAAATGTACACTGTTGCTTTTCTCAGTTAAAAGAAAAATTTATGTAGAAAAATAATTTCTTAAGTATTTAAACATGCAACAGTACAACAATATGATATATTTGTAATTTTGTACACTAGGGAGAAAAGAAAATCATCCTCCTATTCTTTCCGATTTCTAGAATTTGAATTAGTACAAATATGAAAATCTTATGCAAGTGGTAAAGATAAATCATCCTACTTATTTCTCTTCTATGAGCTTATCCAAGGCTGTATTTGGTTTGAAAGAAAAGGTAGGGAAAAGTGTAAATTTCCCTACCTTTCCCTGCCTTTTCTTTCAAACCAAATACAGCCTAAAGGATACATGTTTACATAATGAGTACAAAACCTTGGGAGAAACTGGGAATCAGGTTGCATCCTTTTTTATGTGACCTGTAACACTTGTAGACTACTCTTGACCTTGGCATGGAGCAAGTCTTTCTAGGGTACCCTAAGAATGAAAGGATCAAAATAACACAGGAATAACAGTTAGTACCAGCCCATAGTGGGAGCACAAGTGACATCATCAAATGATGGACTTCAGTCTTAAAACAAGCCAAGATGAATGAAGTGTTAAGCATCATGATGAATGATAAGAGCAGTTAAACAAAAGAATGAAAAGATGTCACCTCTCTACTATAGTGGCAACAAGACTTGGTGCTATCATTTAATCCCGATGGAATTCCTTCAAGTCAGCATCAATTTCATTCCCTTGATTCTTTAAGGGAAGATAATGGCTATAACATTGGGTTTATCAATATAATACATTCAGATTGAGCAAAAGGTCAGGAGTTAATGCAAATTTGCGATTAAGTTACCCCTCCATCTTTGTTACCGGATCTTTTGCAGACAAAGTAGTATGCAGAGTCCAAATATTCCTAATATCAGTGAGATTCTTCACAGTATTGATGAACTAGGGACATTTTTGAACATCAAATAATGTCTCTGATATTATGCTTCCCCCTTCCACCCCTCCTCACAGTATTGATGAACTAGGAGAAAGTGGAAATCTAGGGATTGACACTTTCAGATGTCCATATTTGTGTTTATGACGGCATTGTAGACTTATAATGTCATATTAATAAAAAAAATCTTCTGCAGAGATGGTGCAACAGATGCATGCACAATTTCTCTGTCTTGATTATACTTCTCTTTCCTCTCTTCTTCCTCTTCTGAAAAATATCTTCTACCAGTTGTGTCAAGTAAACTAGGTAATATACGATACTTAACAATTCATCCACAGTTCATCCTACCTCTTTTTTTTTTTTTTGATAAAACGGAAGGGGCTACTCAAGTTGGGGGTATAGCACCCAAGGATTAAAGTATCGGTATCAGGTATCGTATCGGACCACTTGGATACGGATATGGGTACACTTTGGAAATGCTAGATACGGACAAAAATATGAATATGCCAAAAAATGCATATAAATTCCATAAATGTATTAATAACATTATTTTTAAGATCAAAATAGCCATAATTAATATATAAATGCATAAAAAATGTATATTCTAAAGGTATATGTGAAGAAATATACTACAATTAATATAGTGGGATGCATACAAATCATAAAATTTTATTGATAATCTATCAATCAAGAATCATGGAACATATTATATATATTTTTTACAAATTAATACATGCACAAAGTTATTATTATGTTATTTTCTATTGAATTTCAAGGCACAAAACATATACAACTATTATATGTGAATTATTATATCAATTATTTTATAGCGGGATGCATAGAAATCATACAATTTTATTGATCATGTATCAATCAAGAATCTTGGAACATATTATATATTTTCTTTACAAATTAATACATGCATAAAGCTATCATTATGTTATTTTCTACTGAATTTCAAGGCACAAAACATATGCAACTATTATATGTGAATTATTATGCTAATTATTTTCTATTTTACTATTTTTAATTTTTAATATTAACCCAAAGTCAACTAAAAACTAGTTCTCAAATGTTTAGTTAACAATATTTTTATTTTTGTAAACAATAAACACGTTATTATAAAATGTAATTAAAATACCAATTAAAATTTTATAAAAATATATAATATTAACTTAAAATATATCAAATATATTAAATTTTCTAAGATACACATCATATGCAAATTCATAATTTTTAACTACTAAAATATTTTTATCTCCATAAATTTTGAGATAAAAAAAAAATCATTGTTTGATATAAACGTAGATTAATGGATTTGACAAATTCAATAATTATTCGATTATTAATTTAATTCAAACTAAAATATTAATTAATAATTTATAAAATTTTAAGATACATATCATGTTCAAATTTATAAATATTAAGTACTAAAATAATTATTCTATTATTACTATCTTTATTCGTATAAATTTCTTTAGATTAAAGTACATCATCTCTTCAAGGATTTCTCCTCAGCGGACTTAATTAGAAATTGGAGTGTTATAGCTATATCCTCGCCTTCCTCCCCTGTGGTACAAGATTGTTAGGTACCACCGCCTCAGTTCAAGATGAAGCTAAACTTTGATGGAAGCTCCTTGGGCAATCTAGGTCCGTCGAGAGTTGGAAACGAGGAAGGAAAAGTCTTGAACCTCTACTCGGGCCCAATTGGGGTGGGAGACTCATTAAGTGCAGAAGTAATGGCCTTACTTCAAGGTTTGAAATTGGCAAAACAATGGGGCATGCAGCAATTAGAAGTGGAAGGATACTCCAAGTTGGTAATAGGGTGGATGCAAACTGGAAACCTGGGAGTGTGGTCTCTTAGACAGCCTCTAAGAAAGATTATTAGCTTAGCAAGGGAGACTGGGGTGCACTTTAATTGGGTAAGAAGGTCAGAAAATGGAATGGCTGACACTTCAGCTAAGCAAGGAGTTACTAGGGAGGCTTTGTTCTGGGCCTGTTTGTAAGTTTTTGATTTTCTTTTTCCATCCTTTTTGTGGGTGGTAAGCCTGTAATCTTTTTAATTATCTAAGGAAAGTTATCGTTTCCTATAAAAAAAATGTGGATTTAAGAAATTTATTCTATAGTTTATAAATAATAGTTTTTTTTTGGAAAAGGTAAAGTAATATTTATTGAGAATGAAATACACACAAGAGGCTGAGATCAGTCCCAGAACAGGCTGACTGGTCTATTCAACAATTACACAAGCCATCAAGACAAAGAAAATAATACATCTGACACATTACAGTTTCTAAAATCTGCCACCACAAACAACCAAGAAATCAGCTTGCCCACTAACTTCTGGGTTAAGTCCTCCAGACTTAAAAACTTGTTACTAAACACCCTTCTATTCCCCTCGGTCCAGATACACCAAATTACAGCACTTGGAATCATCTTCCATAAAGTCTTCTTTTTCTTGCTCAAGCCCAAAATATGCCAGCAACATAACAGCTCTTTTACCGACCTTGGCATCACACAACAAACATTCAAGGAGTTGAGAAAGTGGTTCCACAACTGAGCAAAAAACGGGCAGTGGATACACAAATGATCAGAAGATTCAGCACTGCACCCACATAAGCTGCAAGACAGGTCCGAAATCTGAAATCCCCTGCTCACGAGGTTCACCTTGGAAAGGCATTTATTAAGAGCCATAGTCCAAACTAGGAAGCTGGCTTTAGTTTTGAATATCATTTTTTTATTTTGTTGGAATTGTTAAACACAAACGTATGTTATTAGTCCGCATTAAATGTGGACACTAGAATTGAGAAAATATTATTTTATTTCATTTACTTTCATAAGGTGAAAGGTGGCCTAGTGGATTAACACTGGTTGATTTGCGTTCGAATCATTTCAGTCGCATTTTTTACAAATAAACACGCGAGAAATACATCAATTTGTATCGTCCCATATCGATGTGTATTAGTTGATACAACACAATACGGACCGATACAAATGTGTATCGCTCCGATTAGGGTTGTTCACAAACAATGCCAAACTGACCAAACCGGCCCAACCCAACCTGATTTGGTCAGTTTTTCATCACCACCGGTCGGTTTCGGGTTGTGAAGAGGAACAAACTGATAATTCGGTTCGATTTCGATTTTCATGTGTGAAAACCAAAACTGAACCAAACCGAACCGAGTTAGTTAGCTTCTGATTTCCTAGTTTGTCCCTAATTAGGTAATCCCTATGATTTAAGCTTTATTAGTGATGTTCAGTTCAGCTTATGGATGAAATGATGTTCGGTAACTTAGTTACAAGTTTAAGATTTTTTAGCAGCCATGGTGGGAGAGATTTTACTAGACTGCTATTGTTACTGTAGCTGAATCATTCAGCCCATCACAAGCCCATTGGTCTTATGAGTATCTATGAATGCCAAATGGCAAATGCAGCCTTAATCATGGTGTGTAATGGGCCAAAAATCAAACTTGAACTGAAACTTGTAGTTTTGGAACGCATAGGACCAAGTCGCATTGAATCCAATGATAAACCGACCGATTAAACCGATAAACCGACCCAAACCGACCCTTCATGTTTGGGTCGGTTTTGCTTAATGGCAGGTTGGTTTCGGTTTGCTCTTTAAGTAACCCAACCAGGTCAGGTTGGTTGAACAAAACCTATTAAACCAACCCGTGAACAGCCCTAGCTCTGATACGCACGATTCAGGGGATACGGGTTTAGTCGTAGCGTATCACATATCCCCTCTGGCCAATACTGATGCAATATGCCCCGTATCGGACGTATCATATCGATATTTAAATCCTTGGTAGCACCCCCCCTCCCGTCTCAACTTTTTATCCCCTTCTCATATTTCAATTCTTATCATTTCTTAACTACAAAATAAAAACAAAGAAAAGAAAAAAGAAGAAAATCAGGAAGAGGTGGAAGAAAGCAAGAAACTAGAAGAAGAATATCCAGAGTTTGTCCAACCTCAGGTGATGTAAGATCTCAAGATAGTACATTTTATCTTTTGAGGAAGAACCAAGTCATTTATCAAAAAGAAAAAGGAAGAACCAAGTTAGTCCCAACTCCTGAAGAGTAACAGTACTTGTCTTTGGTTTGTCACTTTCTGAGCATCCTCTTCTCATGTAAATAGATAAAATAGGGCTCCTACTCCTATGAATGCTCTAGTTTAAACAAGTGAACATGGCTGCAAAGCATTGGGCCCTTGGTAGTTCTTATCGACATTATTAACAAGCTGGCAAGACATCTTTTTCTAAGTAAAGACTACATTGTGAAGCAGAAAACTGAGTCTAATCAATTTAAGGGCTAATCAAAATTTGAATGAGCACCAGCCTGAAGGCCCAAATCTGAAGTGATGAAAATGCTAACTCAGGCCAACCCGAGTTGCATTCCTACTAACCATAAAACATCTACAAGCCAGTTAGGCGGATCACCAATCCAAGGAATAAAGAAGGTTTCTTACTGAAGGAACTTAGGATTTAGTTATTATTTACTGTCTGCCATCAGTTCACATTTGACAAGAGGAGAAAAGATGAAAGGTGATAAATACATCTGGACCCTGCATAAACATCGTATCATTTGGGTTCCCAAATTGACCAGCATCATGTTATCTCTTGCCAAAAGCAGGTTTTAGGAAATTGCTCACTGACTGGAGATTGGTTTCCATTGAAATTTGTTACTTTTTTTATTTGCCCACCTTCCCAATAGAGACTACCTTTCCCTCTGCATAGTTCTATTTCTTTAATCTTTTATTATTATGAATAGAAAAGGGGCTAACCAGAATCTATGGAGAAGAAATAAAATGCAGTGGTAGAAGCATAATTTACTTCTGTATTGCCATTTCTACAATGAGATAACTGGTCAAAAATAGAAAAGTCCAACAACTTTACTATGATTATATATTTCTTATTTGCAAAAAAAAAAAAAAAAAAACAGTTAAGCATCAATAATCAGATCCATTCTCATTTTATCCCAAAAATTCAATACTTATGGACCCTCTAAAGTTGCAGAAAAACAAATACAAGAAATAATTTCCTAACCCAAAGTTCTTTTTCTTTTTTAAGACAGTAACTGTGAATTTCATTAATGGAGAAAGTGAGTAGAAATTGAGAATACAGTCATAGAGAGATAAACCCTCTTATCTCTCTCCCATAAACTCTTTATTTTGGATTACAACTGTGCCCAAAAATGTTGATCTCTCCCCACCCGTTGTTTGGCTAAAGAATCAGCCAAGGAATTAGCACTTCTAACCAAATGCAACCTCACTTCCATGTCTTAATCCAAAGTTCTTCCTCAATAACAAAATTATTACCCAATAAATATAAAGATGCAATCGTTAAGAACTCAATTTTATGCATAAATACCTTCATCTCCATTCCATAAATGTTCAAAAAAAATTAAAGAAAAATAGTAACAATACATAAACATATCAAAACAACATATAGGTAGAGCTATTAAGAGAGCATAATAAAGATGAGCTATGAATTTGCTTTAAAAGCTAAACAAATTAAACTCAAACCTACCATACAGCAGTTTGGTAAAAACCTAAGCTATGAGAAATTGGATATTCAATCCCAGATTTTAAACATGAAATGGAATCAAAGTAGAAATGGTACCTGAATCTGCAAGTGGTGGGTTTTTTCATCAGTCAAATATGGCTCTATGATGTTCTTGCTTTTGAAATGATTCTTCCATACTGCAACAATAAAGCAATTTAATGATGGAGCCCTGGGATTGCAATGGGTTCTTTCTTCAATTGAACTCCTCAAACCTTAATTTCAAGTAGGTTTTGCAGCAAAACAACAAATATTAACATTTGAATTGGACTGGATTCTTAACAAATCCAATCGTTAGTATAGATCCAATCGGATCCAATAAGAAAATGGATTTACCAAGTGTGATCCTTGGATTAAATCCAAATCCGATCCATTGACAGCCCTGCAATTTTTTGAATTTGATCAGGTTTCAAGTTTTTTCTTCCAACCCTATGACAATAGATCTTGTCCTTCACATCCTTCCTCTCATACGCCCTCTTAAACTTCTTTTATGGGCCTGCCACATGTAGATCGTCTTTCAAGTGCGAGAAAACCTTGGTTACACGAATCAAATGAGATTTTTTTATCCTTTTTGTCTTCTTGTTAGAATGGTACTTTAACCTCTTCTCCTAGAGTCTCCACAGTCTTCACCATAACTCTTCAAACCCTTTTTAAATCCTTACCCGGGTCACCCTCACTATTTTGACAAACCTGGAAACTGTCATCAAGGTAAAACTCTTCTCCTGCAAAACTGTTCTAATTTTTCCCCCACAACTGTTCCAATGCAATTCTCAAATTGTTTTTTTCCTAAAGATGAAATGAACCTCTTCACAATTGTTCTAGTCCAATTGTCTATTGATTGGACCACTATGGAGTTATTTAGCACAAGCTGAGTGTCTCGTATAGACAAGGAGAAGGCTGAAAACCAAGTCAGCCATATTAATGAGGAAAGCCTGATAACTTGACAGAGGAACAATATTCATGTATCTGACTCCAAATAGTTAGGATAGGGCTTAGTTGAGTTGTTAAAACTATTTCAAAACTGTCAAAGTCAGGTAGCTCAAGGGCATCAGTTGATATACTATATTCACAAATAATGTACGACAAAGGATCCAAATTGTAAGAGAAAATCTTTCTCCTCATATAGAGAGTGTTCTCATATAGTCTACTACAAGAACTGTATGATGTTCGAACTGAGTAATTTGAAATTCAATATCATTCAACCAGTTTCATTATCATTTTATCTTACCTACATGGAATCAGGTCCATAAATCATTTCCTACACTTCACTCTCTCCAGGGCTACATCTATTGACAACTAAGGAAATTGATAAAATTTTGCAGTACTTGTATATATGAAGGTGACCCCATATAGTTGGTATGAGGCTTAGATGATGATGATGTACATGTCCACCATAATAAGTTGTCTATCTAACTAGGGTATAATTAAGTTATATTTTCTTGGACAGTTACTCAACACTACAAATACTATGACAGAGATGGCAACCACCTGTATGCTACTTAAAATATGTATTAAAGTTGGTTTCATTGGTGTAGGTGGTGCAGAGAGTACATAATCTAGGATGTAATCAAACTGGTTAAATGCCCTTAATTTGATGCTACAAATATGAAGTCATCTTAAACATCAATCCCAGATTCCGAATACTGATAATCAGGGTGACATCCAAAGAAAAATATAAATCCTATATCTGGTTAACTACAGTATCTTCAAACAAAATTAGCATTGAAATTGTAATCAGATAAAGAAATCACTATAGATGAATTCGACAAAAAAGAATTCATTGCCATATATCACCTATTCTGTAGTTATAAATTGTTCAATAGCAACTAGTAATTTCCTCACAATACAAATACAAGAAGAAAAATCCAAAAGCCATGACTTATACAAGGAGAAAGAAATACAAAAATATCACAACTAACTAAGCATTAAAGAAACATAATCTCCAGGATATCCGTATAACAGTAAATTAGGGAACCATAAGATACCAATGAATTGTCAACAATTGACATACTGCGACAAGCGAGCTGCCATGTTAGAAACTTGAGTCTGCATCTGTGTAGCCCTAAGCTTTGAAGAAGTAGCACGGTAGAAGAACTGCTCACGCGATAGCGACCTGATGCTCCTTAGGTACTGGTCAAAGGGAATTGACCCTTCCTGAACCGCTTTATCCAATGAATAAATGGCATCCTCTATAGACAAATCTGATGCACTGCATTCGAGCATCTGCTTCGACAGAGCATCAATAGGCTCAAAAACATCATCTATATCCACTTTCCCTATGTTCGCCGTCTTCGACTCGTTCTCCCTCAACCATGCCTCCAAAATATCCGAATTCATCAGAACCATCTGCAATTGCTGCTCTAAACCTTCCTTCTCATCCTGCATCTCCCTCAACCCTTTGGAAAGCTGATCCTCCCTCTGCCGCAAAACCGCCTGGGCACTAAAAAGCCCATCCATCTCGGTCTCTCTATTCTTCCTCAACCCATCGATATCGGCATGTAAGTTACTCAAAAGCTTGTCAATTGCATTTCTCCGGAAAACCTCCGATGGGTCTTCCGTATGATGCCGATGGTGCTGAGGCGATGGCGGGAGCCTCCCACCGTAGGGAGACAATGAAGAGTAAACCCTGGGCGGAATCCCAGGACGAGCTGAGGCCGACGAAGACGCCGAGATCACAGAAGAATTGTCAGGAGGGGTACAGATAGGGTTTGCCGGAGGTGGCGCTGGTCTTTGGCGGGTATAAAGAGGGGGGTCGCGACCGAAGGTAAGACTGAGATTTCGGACCAAATCGACGAGATTGGAACTTGGGTAGATCCAATTCTGGAGATAAGGGAGGGAGACGAGACCGGAGGGATTAACATGGGGGTGGGGGCGCTTGATGATCATGTCCCGAGTTGGAGCGACGTACGCGCAGGGGGGCTGGCGAGGGTAAGACTCCATGAGCCAGATGACGACAGGGATGTTGTACATGACCTCCTGATAGAACATGGGGATGGTGCCTTCGGCTTGGAGGAGATTTACAGTTCGGCCGTCGTTATGAGTGAAGGTGGCCGTCTTGGGCTGGAGGCTGGGGTAGGTGTTGACGAGGGAGAGGAGTTGTTGTCGGATTAGCCATTTGACGTCTTCGGTGTAGGGCAAAGCCGATGGACCTCGCTGGGAGAGGACGCTGCTTAGGAATTGCTGGGTGAATTGGGTATTCTGCGCTGCTGCTCCGGCCATTGCAGATAACCACCGATCGGTTTCTTCTTATTTGTGCTTGGCAGAGGAGAAGATCTTCCGTTCCTGGTCGCCGGAGAGAAACAGCAACGGAGAATTATTGCCGAGGAGCTTTGTTTATTTTTCTCTGCTGAGACGAAAGTCACGAAGAGAGGAGATTTTGCGTTCGAGGAAAAGCCTTCATCAAGGCCTCAAGGGCAGGGAGTTTCCTCTTGGGATGGATTTCCGTGTGATAGGATTGGAATGAGGAGCGTATTTGGGTCGGGTCGACCACAACGCGGTGGGAGTAGGGCTGAATCCCGGGGTAGGATTCGGTTTCGGTTTGGTAAACTCCGAAGAGGGATTATAAAGGTCGCGTTTGCTTTCACAGAAAAACAACAGAAAGTTGAGGGAAAGCTCTTAGCAAATTCCTAAGAATTTATCTCAACTTTCTGTCTTATTTTCTGCCAAACCAAACATACTAAGGTTTTCCTTCTGGGTAAAATCAACCTCCCCCACCCCCCCAAACGCGGAATGAGGTTTTCAACAAATAATGAAACCTCCCCCTAGTTTTGTCTTGAACCTTTGAACATTTCTTGTTCTGTTGTTAGCTTTGATAGAATGGGAGAAATATGAAGAATGTATTTATGGGGGTTTTTGATGTTTGAAATCTAATATAAAAATGTCTTAGGTGGGGATGTGGGGTGAGTTACCTAGCAAGGTTTAAAGTAGGGGTGATCATGGTCCGGGTTGAGCTGAGCTTGGCACATGTAATAAGGGCTATAGGTTGGGCTTGGGCCTGGCCCAGTCCGGGTTATGATTTGTTGTTTCTCTCTTGTTTTAATACTTGGAAATATTTTAATCTTAGTTGATCTACATTTCTCATGTTAAAAATCACACTTTTTTCGGTAATACGAGTAGATCTATGAATTTTTTATGAAGAAAATTGGAAAAATATAAAATAAAAAAAAGAAAATTGGAAAATGTCTCTTTTTTTATTTACATGTAAGGACTTCATATGTTAGAAATCTATGGATGATCTATCATATCCATATAACATTTGAAATTTCTTGTATAATATATTTTTTGAAATTTTCGAAATTAAATAATAAATATTAATTATTTACATTTTCTAATGATTTGTTCATAAATATTGAATATATTATAGTTCTATGGATGATATATCAAATCCACAGACCATTTGATTCTTCCTCAAATATTTTTTGATTATTTTATAATTTTTGGAATTAAAAATAAATAATAATTAAATACACTTTTATGACATACCCATAAGGATTGAATATATTGTAGATCTATGGATGATCCATCATATTGATAGATCATTTGAAATTTGTTCCTCAATTAGTATTTTGTTATTATTTTATTATTTTTAGAATAAAAAATATATTAATTAATTATATTCTTGTGATATACCCATAAAGATTGAATATATTATACATCTATGGATGATCTACAATATCCATAGATCATTTGATATTTCTTCTTCAATTATTATTTTTCTTATTATTTTATAATATTTGGAATTAAAAAATTAATAATAATTAATTATATAATGATATACCCATAAGGATTGAATATATTGCAAATATATAGCCGATCTATCATATACATAGATCATTTGAAATTTCTTCCTTAAATATTATTTTTTTATTATTTTATAATGTTTGGAATTAAATACAATAAATAATAATTAATTATATTTTTTATCATCTACCCATGAGGATTGAATATATTGTAGATATATGGATCAACTATCATATCCCTAAATCATTTGAAATTTCTTCCTCAAATATTATTGTTTTATTTTATAATTTTTAGAATTAAAAATAGATAGTAATTATTTAAATAATAAATAATAATTACTTATATTTTCACTTAGATGTTGTGCCATTGATAATGCCTACTTTATGATTGGAATGTTGGATATGATACATATATTATACAATTAGACTTTTCCCATCCCTTAAAAGTTAAAAGTTAAGAATTATAATTAAGCATAGGGTTTTTTATTGAAAATTTGAAAATTAGATATAAAAATTACATAAAAAAGAAATTAATATATTCTATGATATGATCATAAGAATCATACAATTGTATAATTTTATAATTTCTATTTAATTAAAAAATGGAAATAGATATACCCATAAATCCAATACAATTTTATGTCAACAATTAATTTTAAAATATGTATTTACTATAAAAATATTTTTAAATAACCATTTCAATGCCAAAAGACTTACCCACTTTTGTTCTTGTGAGTTGTGAATGAATTATGGTTTTGAAGTATTAATGAATTATAATAGTTTATAAATGTGATAATTTGTAAATTATGACTAGGAATGAATATGATAGTTTGTTATTATTTATCACATTTGAATATGAATATGATAATTTTGAATTATGATTTTGAAATGTTTATGAATGAATATGACAATTTATGTTAAATAAATATGATTGTAAATTTATTTCTAATTTATATTTATAGTTGACTTATGAATTATGGTAGTTAAATTAATCAAATCACTTGAAAGTCTTGGTCTCTTCATCTCTTGGATATTTAGAATTTCATTTTTTGAATCTCTCGTATGACACTAATTAAAAGGGAAGAACTAAATATTAGATGAAGTGGTATCAAAGTAAATAATAGGGTAAATTACAAAGACCCCCTTGTATTATAGAATTACTGACAAAGACCCCCCTATACTTTAATTTGCGATAAAGACCCCTTGAACTTTTGTGTTGCGAGAAATGACTGAAGACGTTAAATTACCAAAATACCCCACTAAACTTTCTCTATTTTCTTTTTCTAGCCATTCTCCCTTAAAACCTAAGGCTGCATTTGTTTGAGGTGTAAATTCAAATTTTACACCATGGAAAAAATGAACCGATTTGATCGGTGGAAATTAAAACCGGTTGATTTTGAAAGTATACACCTACCTTGTTTAGTCATCAAGGTGTAAATTCCATGAAATGGTGCAGAGGAGGAGCAGACGATCTACAGAGGAGGAGGGAAGCAGGGGAAGATCGTGCATAGCTGGCCTTCAACCTTATGAAGTCTGCAATCCCTTCGATCAAAGCCTTAGCTCCGGGCTGGCCGTTTCCATCCCACTACCTGACGTGCATTACCTCATGGTACAAAATTCCAGTAATCTCCCTATTTACGTCGCTGTTGTAAACCTCAACGTAGGTGGCATTCATGTGGATTTCGTTATTTATCGCATACGCTGGCACACCGCGTTCATCCCGTCGGCCATTGTCTCCACGAACATGCTGACGCTTTGCACACTCTTCCTCTCAACTTCGCTTGTTTGCCAGAAGGTTTGCCAAATGAATTCTAAGGAAGATTTCAGTCTCTCTCTACTGTACTCGACGCCGATCTGGGTGTCAAACCAGGTTCCACCAGTGGTTCCAGAAAGCGTAGTTAAAGGCTTGATATTCTACGGCAGCATTCAATCCTTGCAGGGCTGAAAGGCCGATCAGATAATACAGGAAGAAGAGCGTCTGGTAATGGAAAGCCATCGGTTTGTTGCTCTACAAGCAAATGTGTTGAGCTCACTGCTCAGATTATTATGGTTATATAGAGAGTAGCCACACCCTGAGGAAGCACAAAGAGAAGCTACCGATTATGAAAGGTATTCCCCTATTATGGGTCCTCTCCAGCTCTCCCTTCCGAGGTGGGTTCAGATCTACCACTGCAATTGGTTGCAGCCGTGGTGACGGAAAGAGAAAAAAAGGGGGGAAGAAGAAGAGAGAGAGAGAGAGAAGGAGAAGAAAGAGAAGAAGAAAGAGCGGTTTTCTTTACATCGATAATTTCCATGTATATATTACACCGATTTTCAGTGTAAAATTACATGTTTACCAAACACATGTAAAATCGAACCAAGGTGTAACGTTTATCCTGGTTCAATTTTCCACCCCAAACAAACATAGCCTAAATGACCCAAAAATACGGAAAAAAAATCTTATTTTCTTTGGTGAGAACCATAATTAACCAACCAAATGAAGTTTTGAATTTGTTAAACATTTGCAGCGGATTCGCCCCTTGCATCTAGTAGAACACTAAGCTTTTCCATTGCATGATTGAATGATTGAAAGAATGCAATCTAGCTTGCTGTGAACATGTTCACGTATGGCTTGATGTTGGCATTGAGAGTGGGATTGAAAGGTGAAGTTATTGTCAAACTTGTTTGGCGTCATTACAACCTTCGTGGCCGATTGTCGACTTATCAGTTTCAACGTTTCCTTCTTTGCCCGAGGTTCTTTGAATCCCTTCTTTGCAAATCGTTGTCCTTCCAAAACTCTGACTCTCTTTACCTTAAACACCTATTTCCTTCTTTTGCTTCACAAATTTCGAGTTTCATCCATGTTTCTAGTTCTTGAATTGACGCATCCCCATCACCTTTCGGTGAGATACACGCCATTGTGCATGGATCCGATGTTTGCCAGGAAAACCACCGCTCTCCTTCATTGAATCCAAACTGAGAGCAACAATGGTAGAAGTATGCCAATAATAAAATTGAACAATGATACAAGATATTGGTTAGATTGTATTGTAACACATGATGGGAAGAAATTGCCATGTTGGACTTTGCTGAATCTATCATCATTCAAACAAAAAATTGGAATTGATGTTTATGACAAACTGATTGTTACAGGAATTGGTGAAGCTCAATTTTTTGAAGACTTGTATGATTTCTACTTGAAATTGTTGGGAGGGAAGCGGATGGAGGCCGGCGATGCTCCCCAGTCGGATGTGGAATGGTGAAAGCCGATCCGCCACTCGGCTCGGGGAGCGGACCGATGCGGATTGCGGCGGCGCCCCAAGCCCGGGTTGTTGCGTTAGCAAGGCAGCTCATCATGATGCATGGGAAGACTGTAATTGTTACAGGCTTGGAAGCCTTGGATGGTGACTACTTGAGAAGAGAGTTTTGGCTTTGTGCTTGACATTATTCCTCTTGCTGATTCTGTAACTAAGCTAATTGCTCGATGTGAGCTCTGTGGCAAGCGTGCCTTCTTCACCTTAAGGAAGACAGGAGACAAAAATAGAACTGATTGGAGGGGCTGATGTCTATATGCTAGTTTGTCAACAACACTATGCCAATGAACTAAAAAGAGGAAAAACCATAAGTTCAACTATCAAACCCTCAGCTCCGCTACACCCTTTATTCGCTACTTCACTCTAAATAACACTAACACACAATCTCTCTTGTGGGGCATGGGTGGAGTAGGGGCGGGTTGGGGAGATGATTGAGACTTGCTTCCTCAGGAGAAG